TCCTCTCCAAGCGCTCTCTCACCCCCATCAAGGCGGCTCTGTGTTTCTGCCACTCAGCAAGCATCCAGCCAGGAGTGAGGGACCAGCCTCTCCTTCTCGTAGGTGCCTGCATCCAGTCTCAGTGAAGGGATTCTTTTCTGTCCTCTTCACTTGGCCTGGATATGGGGGTCCCTTCCCTCTCCTGGGCACCCTGAAGGGGTGGGGTAAAGCCACAGCATTGCCCCAAGTACCCCTTATTCTTAAATTTCAATCCTCTATGAATATTGGCTCAAGGAGTGTAGGGTAAAAGCCACAGAATCAGCTCAACATTTTTTTTCTTTAATTAAAGTATTGTTGCTGTACAATATTATGTAAGTTACATGTGTACAATATAGTGTTTCACAAATTTTAAAGGTTATACTCCATTTATAGCTATTATAAAATATTGGCTCTATTCCCTGTGCTGTACAATGAATATTTGTAGCTTATTTTATACCCAATAGTTTGCATCTCTTAATCCCTTACCCCTGTATTGCCACCGCCACTGGTAGCCACCAGTTTGTTCCCTATATCTGTGGGTCTGCTCCTTTTTTGTTATATCCACTAGTTTGTTTTATTTTAGATTCCACATGTAAGTGATATCATACAGTATTTGTCTTTTTCTCTCTGACTTATTTCACTTAGCATAACACCCTCCAAGTCCATCCATGTTGCTTCATATGCAAAATTTCATTCCTTTTTATGGCCAGTAGTATTCCATTATATATATACCACACCTTCTTTAACCATTCATCTGTTGATGGACACTCGGGTTGCTTCCATACCTTGGCTGTTGTAAATAATGCTGCCATGAACACTGGGGTGCATATATCTTTTCAAATTAGTGTTTTTGTTTTTTACGGATATATACCCAGGAGTGGAATTACTGGGTCATATGGTAGTTCTATCTTTAAATTTTTGAGGAACCTCCATACTGTTTGCCACAGTGGCTGCACCAATTTGCATTCCCACAAATAGCATACATCAGCTCATCTATCTTATAAGTCCTGTGTGGAAGCATCTAGTAGTTCCTCTTTAGACTCTGAGGGGACCTCCTGGCCTCACCCTGGGGCTTGAGCCAAAATTGTAAAACAATAGGAAAATTCCATTCAGTTTTCTGTTCCATTAGTGATGCTTGAGGTCAGAGTCCCACTGTCAGCACGACTGACATTTTGGGGCTGATAGTTCTTTGTTGTAGGGGGCTGCCCCGTGTGTCATAGATGTTTAGCAGCATCCTTGGCATCTACCCAATAGATCTCCCCCACGTTGTGACAATCTCTTCAGACATTGCTAAACCTCCCATCCCCTGGGGGGCGGGGAGGTAGCAAAATTGCCTCCTGATGAGAGCTACTGCCTAACAGAAAAGAGGAAGTCATCGAAAGTTTTTGAGCAAGGAAGTAACATAAGATTATCATCAAATATCATTTGATTACTTTCACTGAATGATATGAACAGGAGTGGCCAAGGCCAAGAAATGCTTGCTGTGCAAGTGACACCTTTTTAATAATCCCTCATAACGTACAACATTACATACATTACATTATCTCATTCGTTTCCACAGCCTCCATCTGAGGAAGGTAGCGGACTGTGTTTCACTGATGAAGTGTAAACACAGAGGACGAGGCTAATATGGGAAGCCATCAGACTGAAGAGTAAGTGTGCGGAGGAGAGACGTGGAGAGGGGGTTTTCCATGGAGTCTAGGACTTTCTTTTCAGAGCAGGAATCCTGTAGAAAATATCTGTATGAGTCATAATAGGTACTGCAACTGAAATTAATTGAGAGCTGACCATGTGCTGTGTGTCTCATAGATCCCCTCACTTAAGTCTCTCAATAAGCCCCGTGAGGAGGTAATATTATTATTCCCAGTTTACAATGTCTAAGTTTGCAAAGACTAAGTTCCAGGAGGTTAAGTCACGTGCCGAAGGTCACTCAGTGATCAGAGATGGGATTTTAACGGAAGCCGCTGGGCTGACTCCAGAGCCCTTGTTTATAACCACGGCAACATCCTAAACTAGTTTCCAGCGTGTAACTCAGAACACAGGCTCTACAGTTTCCAAACCTCTTCCACTTGTGTCGCCTTCGCAGCTCACACAAGGCTCTCCCATGTGATGTGTAGTGTCAGCACTGATAGGTAAGTGGGACCTTAGTCCCATTTTACTGATGAAGATACAAACTAGAATACAGGTGTTAAACCAAAACTAGAAACCAGAATGGTTTGATTCTTTGCACAGTACGTTGGATGATACTGACCAGAATGTGGAATAGAATGTTCTGTAATCTCAGAACCAGAGATTAAGTTTTAACTACAATCTCACACTTCAGAAGAAAACTAACTAATACTTTTGCCCATCTTCTATGGCAGATACTATGATAAAAGCTTAGCACACATTATCTATATCATCTTGGCAAGAATCCTAGGGCAAAGAGAATAATTATCCCAATTTACAGATCAGGTCATTGAGGCTTGGCAAGACTGATGTCCATGACGAATGGCAAGGTCAGGACTCCAACTCAAGTATGTCTCGTGCCAAGGCACATACATGCTCTTACACTGGGCTTCCTGCATCTTCTTATCTTTTATCCTTATGAGGTGGGTATTATTATCTGATGTTTGCAAATAAGGGAAAGAAAGAAGAGCCAGAAAGATGAAACAACTTCCCCCCAAACACAAGACCTCCAGCAGGTGGATCCAGGAGCCAGGCTCTGACTGGCTGTGTCCAGAATCCACGCTCTTCACCCCGGAGCCTTGGGTCCCGGCTCCATGAGAACTCTTGGGAACACAAGACTGACTCCCCTGATTTTGTTATCTGTGTGAGTCAGCCTGGGGAGTATGGGGCTGTGAGTCTCAGGGAACATTAACCAGCATTGTTGGGACAATCTATTCTCTCCACGAGCTGACTTCTCTAGTTGGTGACGTGAGCTGAATGAGGAAAGTCTCTCTTCAGGGGTGTAGGCTCTAGAAGCTTCTCGTGGCTGCTGTGGATCAGAGCCTTAAAGAATATTGAACGTTCACTCAGTTGCTCATCCTGGGATGTGAGGGGGACCAGGTCAGGAAGGAGGTGGCCTTAGGGACCCCGAATGTCATGGGACCAGCCTGGGGAGAGATGCCTGCCCAGCTCCTGCCTAGCTCAGCAGGTTCTGTGGCAAAAATTCCAGGAGACACCACGTAATCTATGTTCAGACACCCTGCTGGGCATTCGTCAGCCTGAATTTTGCTCCAGGCAAGAGCTAGGGTTCAGTGAGGAAGGGATCAAAGATTGGAATGGAACTCGGTTACCACACCTGGGAAATGATGGGCTTCCATGGAAGCCCCATGTTACCTATAAGGCAGCTGAAGGTGTCCAGTGAGTTATGCTGGCAGAGGGAAGAGGTCAGGGAGCCCAGCATTAAATTCTAGTCTCCTCCCACCCCAATCATTTTCATCATGGTTCACAAATAAATGCAGATGAAAAACAAAAGGAAAAAAACAGCATAATTGATTTTAATTCCATGGCTTAATGTCCAAGTCTAAAGGATCCCTAAACTTTTCTTTCCCAGGAATAATGCAATTTTTATTTCTCAAAAATTGCATGATCACTGTTCAATATATTTGGACTGGAGAGTTAGCCCTGGGGTTTTTCTGAGAGGACAACTTGCTGACGCGGAACGATGCATCTGCCATCACAAAAACCTTTAGGGAATTCTTTCCAGTTGTGTGGAACCCAATTCAACAACACACTTTTACTATGTGCCTACTGCATGCCAGACCCCAGGTCAGGTTCTGGTGGTATGAAGAAGGTAAGCCATGTGCAGCTGTTCAGGTTGTATACTATACAACCCTAAGGGGCATAGAATTGTGTATCCACTAAGTCCTGTTTCTGCAGATGGCAGGAAGGTGACTTGAACAAGCTGGGCTGTATAGGCTGGCTGTGATGTCAGCTAGACACAGTTTCTACCCTCAAGGAGCTCACTGTCCGGCAGACAGCAGGGCTCTAAGACACTAGCTGATCATAGGCTAGAAGCTGGAAGAGCTTTTCTCTCTTCCCCCTTTTTTTCTTTTTTTTTCTTTTTTTTTTTTTTGCGGTACGCGGGCCTCTCACTGTTGTGGCCTCTCCCGTTGCAGAGC